AAATATTCTTAGAGAGTCCTATATAATATTGCGTTATGGATTTGTGACAATACCGATTTGATCGACACTATTCAACTGTGGAAATATTCTTAGAGAGTCCTATATAATATTGCGTTATGGATTAGCCTAGATTATATTATGCGYAGGTATCCTCAAGAGTATTTAGAATAATAATTAACTATTCATAAAGATGTTATTCTTAATAAATTGTTCTTGTGAAAAATAACGTTAAAACATTWTTGGGATATACTATCAAGTTAAATATATCGTTTATTAATATGTTWCTAATACATTTTTAATCATTTAATATTTTAAACATGTTTTAGTACTTGAAATTGTCATGATGATTTGCTACMGAATATTTCTAACTGTCAGCTCAGTACTGGCAATATCTATTTTTGGAACAGCTCAATCTTTAGATGGCGAATGTGCATTACATCTAACTGGTCCAGGGAGGACTAGTTTTTTTGATTTTAATAGTAACACTTTGAGAGGTGGTCCACTGTAAGTATCTACGTTTTTCATTTTACATTTTTCATAATTTGTATTTTTGTAAGTTTTTAAATATTATTCATAATTATTATGATACAARTTCAAAGACAAAAGAACAAAACATTTATTAAATGCTAATTGTATTAAAAATTATGAATGTGTTGTTACTTATTGTACTGTAATAGTAATGTATAAAAACTATACCTACCGTGGGTATTTATAGACACAGAAAAATTAACTACATGTATTATAATATTAACATGGTTAAAGGCATGCTAATATTGTATTATTGTATTATTGCATATTTATTATTTTTTATTTGATAGAGGTATGGGTCAAACGGGTCAATGATAACTTATGAAGCAGTCAACCAAGCATACGTAGATGCAAGAAAAAGAATTAGTAAGTAATTGAATTTAAAAAATGTATTAAGAAACAAACTACTAAAACTCAGTATGGTGTATACTAATACGTTATAAATAGATTCAAAACTGACAAGTTWAAAAAAAAMAAAATAAATAAATATGATACAACTAAGTCAACAATAATAACTTAACCTTAAAGACCACAAATATTAGTTTAATTTTTGTCCTATCCAATATTTATGAAATACTGTAATTTTTCTGTCTGTACGGAATAATATTCGTAATGGGTGGTTTTACGTGGTTTTAACTGACAGGTAGAAGATTCTGCAACCAGTAACATAATATAGTATTATAGTAACTAATTTTTATCCTGAAATCCAACATCCAACACCTAAATTTCGATGCACATATRAATATTGTCCTTAAAATACAAACGATTAATTTAATTTTTTTGCTCACTTAATAATATGGTTGTCGTTGGTTATACAGAAGAAAAAAATCTTTTCTGTTTTTCAGTGATATTTAGAAAAAAAAGATTACAAYGTTCCACTAAATATAGACCGTGGTGAAAATTAGTGTAATTTAAATTTGTTGTAAGGTTAAGTTCATTTGAGACGGCGCATGTACACCTAAAATTGTTAAACCAATTGGCCCATGAAGTKATTACACTCAAATCGAAATATGAATGTTGCATATTTTTTAATTCATAATTTTTTTTTCTTTGGGAAATTTGATTAATACAGTTAAAGTTTTTTACAGGAATATATTGTTAGAAAACTTCAGATTATAGTAAAATTCTCTGAGCAGAATATACGTGTATGAACTCTATTCACCATTGCCAGCATTGCTAGTGAAAGGTGCATGCAGTTTTCACAACCGGTTTGACTCGACTGTGGATATTTACAGTTGAGGAATCTGATTATTATTTATTTATTTACATTCGCTTAGGCTTAAATATTGCAATATGGTACATTGGTACGGCCCGATAAATAGGTGTTTAACCCATAGCCAAAAATAGACGGAAATGCAGTAACATTTTTAGAATAATTCAATTCAACCTTGAATAAACTCTCCCATTGGCCATTGGTAAGAAACATGTCGAACGAAACAACAAAATATTCTAAGTCTTAATAATTATACAATTATTCATTAAACTATGTAGGAGAAATAAAAAATACTGCATTTTTAAAACTTGAAAAAATATATAGTTACTTATTGTTCAAGTTTTTAAAATCAGCGGACACTGTTGGGCATTTTTAACTGTTCAATATYCATACGCAACATTTAGGAATTTAAGGACTGTAGATGTCCATAACACAAGACACGACGTATGGAAGTTAAAATTAAAGAAGTTTAGAAGTATATTATACTCACCGTTTATTAAGAATAAGTATCTATACAAACCATATATGACTAAGTATTATTCATTATTCTACATATAACACATATTATATAGAATATATATTACATACACATATAAGTGAATTAAAATACGCGAGAAACGTATTACGCTAACATTTTTATAATAATTATTAATATGATAATATAAATAATATGTATTATAATTGAAACAATTTTAAGTCAAATATTGTTTCCTTGATTTCGAATTCCGGTTTATTGTTATCATTTTCAACATAACGCGCTCACGGTTTTATAATTTTTATTCATGCTCAAAACTTACGA